CACACACACACACACACACACACATATATATATATATAATACACACACTACGCAAAATAAATAAATCACAATTAAATTACTTAGAAATAAACAAGGATAAACAAGGTACTGAAAGAAAATATAATAGCCATTTACAAAAATATCCTCAGAATCCAATACGTATTGTTAAAGACTTGAAGATTAAAGAAACTATCTCATTAGAGATAAATATTAAACAACAGGTTAAAAAAGGCAGTATCGGTAATTACATGTAAAGCAGTATAAGTAATGTTGATAAATACAGTGAGTTTTTTTTTTTAAAGAAATAAAACAAAAAACAAACATATCTTTGGCTTTATGACTATCTAAAGACCTCTAAATTTTTCAAAAATAATTGATTAAACTGGAAATTAAAAACTGATTTGAGCTGAAAAGTTTTGACATTCTGAATTATTTATTTTTGGCCACTTGATGGCAGCAAAAACAAACATTTTTATATTAAGTAAATAGTCATTAAAATACCATTTGCTCTGTTTCAGGACATAATTGTGATTAAAACTAACTAAAAAACTGCTTTTTGCTCAACCCATCTCCAGACCTTTACTTTGTAATCTAAATTAATGACCTTTTCAGCGATTAGGACAAATCATCCAAACATAAAACCAGATTAAACAGCAAAGGCATGTTTGTTTCATTTTTGCTATCTTTATTTCACATTTTTGTACACAATAAATACAGTCAAACATCCACTGGTGTGTAAATTTGATGATCTGCAGTTTCTGCAGAGCAGACATGAAATGTGGGCATTTTCATCACTGAAATTCAGCTTTGGACCCGACGTGAAACCAGGACCAGTAGCAGGTTAACAACAATGTCTCTGATGGACAAGAGACTTCAGGTTTATTTTTTAATACAACAGGGTAAATGCAAACTTCAAAAATAAGTTTGATGTCATTTAGATCTCAAGGAGATCAACGAGAACACAGCAGCAAGGCTGACAGATATCTCTGATCAAACTGAACTATTGTTTTAAAAGGTTTTTCTACTAATTCTAATAAAAAGAAAAAATACTAATAATTGTACAGATATCCATCTCCAAGCTCTCTGTAAACGTCTGAGTTTTCAAAAACAATATGGTCAAAAAGTCAGACTCTTAAAGACACTATGGTGGCTAATAAAGGCTAAATAACATAAGAGCTGATAAAAGTAAAGTTTTATATCAATACAGTTGGTAAACAAACTTTAAACATCAACAATACTGAAAGGGAATAAAAAGACATTTAAAAGTGCTTCACTATGACATTATAGGTTTTAAACTGGACAGCTAGCAGCTCCGATGGTTTCCTCCTTCAGGTGTTTTAAACTGCATGATGTTAGTGTAAACCGACACCGAACCAGCAGCCAATACTGGCATCGTTTGTGTCATAACAACTAAATCCGTACGTTACAAAAAAAAAAAGGACCAAAACTTGGACTAAGTCTGTGTATACTGAGTTCTTAAACTGAATCTAAACACGATGAGCAAATAAAAATAACAAGGAAAAGGCGAACAGTAAACGATAAAAGATCTGTTATCTGAACAATCACAACTAGAATTGCCACTTTTCCCTTGTTTGTGTAACCGTTTCCAGTGACGGTGCAGAGGACCAGCCTCGCCCGTGCTGGAGCTGCGGTCCCACGTGGAGCTCTGGTGTGTGGAAGTGACCTCTGCAGTGGGCCGAGCTGGTACAGTAACAACCCTCAGAGTCAATCAACATGGTTAGAGATGAGGAAGAAACACGGGAGTTTCTACGGTGTCTTTTGGAGCCGAGTCAGGCCAGTTAAAGGAACAGTTCAACTTTAAGGACTTTTATTTTCTGCAGGAAAACTGCTGAGAAACCAGGAGGTAATGAGCTTTAATAGCTACTGCATCTATTGATGCTGCTAAAAGGAACTAATTAGTCTGATGCAAACTAACAGAAACTGAAAAAAATGAATTACACTGTATGTTTAAACCCAGACAGTGGCTGGATGTTTACTGACCCTGTTAACGTCGATGGCAGGACACAGACTGGGTGAGTTTAAAGAACTGAATTTAGTGAATAATCCTCCACGGCACACCGACCTACGAGGTCTGAGCGTGGGGGTCTCTGGTGCCTCCAGGCGTCATTTCCTTTGCCAACGAGTTCTCGGCCGGTTTCACACCAGCGTGATCTCCACCTCCTCCCGAGGCTTCACCTGTCCGCGAGGATGCTGCTTCGGGGGCGGAGGAGCGGCTCGGACCTGCAGGCATCATCAAATTATTATTTATTTACAAATATTCCTGCTGCCTGTTGAGGCTATTTAAATGTATGACTGCTCGTCACTCACAGGTCTGATGGTGCCAGCTGCACTCTCTGGGTATTTAGGAGGTTGAGGGGATCCTTGAGCAGGGCCTGCGGGAGCGGGGGACAGCAGACACAGATTATAATCTGAACTGTGGTCTTTGCAGGGTCACAGAAGACCAACAGCTTACTGTGATACGGGCTCTTGTGAGGAGCCGGTGGCGGCCGGTGGTTTCCGTTGTGGTAGGAGGGAAGTCTGCCGATGGGAGAGGCGGTGGCGCTGCAGGGGCTCGACCCGGGAGAAGAGGTGGTGGGGGTCTGAAGGGGGCTGCTGTGGAGGGGCGCTGACTGGAAGGGGCTGCATTGGGAGCGGTCGCACTGCGCCGAAGACGATGGAGACGCCTTGAACACAAACAACTTTATTTTTGTAAATCTAACCGGCAGGTTTCTGGTTTCCTTTAAAGGACRTCGCCACACCTGAGCGCTGCCTTCTCTCTGCCCGTCTCCGTTCTCGCTGACCCCCGAGAGATCCTCCACCAGCACCGCAGGGAAGACGCCAACYATGCCGTTGAACTCTCCCTCCCAGAAGCCGTCGTCCTCGTGGGTTTCTCTGTTCAGGATGCGGATGATGGCGCCTTCTGGAAATGACAGCTCTTCGTCCGTTTGTCCCGCGTAGTCGTACAAGGCCTTCGCAAACGACACTGCAATACAGAGCGTCAGCRCTCCTAAAAGCTGCTTTACTTTTGTCGCATAAAGCTGATGCAGGAGGTGAAAAGCGAAAATGCTCTTCGTCAGATTTCAGTGTAACTCTCACCGCTGGAGTCTCCGTTGACTGAGCTGGTTTGGAGTTCGGTCTCGGGTTCAGTGGAGTTGCTGGAGGAATGGGATCGTGCGTCCAGAGCAGCCAGAGTCTGCAGCATGCTGAGTAAACTGTTGGAGGAGGGCAGCTGCAGGTATTTCTCTGGGACGTAACCCACCTGTCCGCTGCGGTTTCTGGCCTGGAGAGGAAGAACATTCACACAAACAGTGAAAACTGATGAGAAATGTGACCTGTCACATCGAAACCAGGATTAGGTCCAAAACTGGGATGTGGAGAAATAGTATAGGGTTTTGATTTATACGTGTGTAAAAATTGCATTTTGTCAAAATATAATCATGGTTCCTACAGTTTAAAACAAGTTCAATTTAAGACTTTTAAAGACATTTTAATGCCAAGTGAAATCAAGTTTAAGACCAATTTCACAATAAAACACAAATGACAAAATAATTAAAACTGTGGCAGAAACTCATGAATCAAACAATTTTTGGTTGAATTATTCAACTTTTGCTAATAGACCAATTGTTTTTATCCATATCTAACTGCTATTTTGTCAAATATAGCAAAAAAAAACTATTCTTGGCAGTCAGTTTTAAACTTAATTTAATTCCTTGAAATCCTCTAATGACCCAATATTTGGAGTTTTATGACCCACAGTGGGTTCTCAACCCCAGCTTGCTGTGGATGAAACCTTAAAGTGCATGTGATGTAACATTTTTGTAAGAAATATGAATGCATTTTTGGAAAGACAACACTATTAACGTTAGAAAACAAATTTCACATTGCTCAGATGGGCAGTTGTTGAGATATTTGCATGTGAAATAACAGGAAGTGGTGTCAAAAGGGAACATCTGAAGAATATTTCAAAAATAAATAAATGTAAACAAAAATAAAAAAATATAAAAACAGATTTTGAGGAAAAACGCCTTAAAATTTTGAATTTTTCCCTGGGAGCTAGCAATGTTTTTGTTTCTTTCCAACTGGGACATCTTAATTAAAAATACTATTTAAAGTTTCCTCTTTATATTGACATAAAAATGACTCAATACATTTACATAAAAATAGATTTCAGACCAAATATTAATGTATTATTGTAACCAACAAGACAAATTAGGTCATATCTCTGGATAAGCTTATGATATCTGGATGATCCAGGTATCAAAATGAAGCTTTTAAAGTCAGGAAACTGAAAATGTAATTAGGTCATTTTGACCAAATTTGACTTAATCCTTATTTCAATATGATGCGTCACATATGAGTCRTCTTTATTTCAATCTTCCAGCAGGCTTTGCAGCTCTGTACATTTTATTTAGAGGGGATGGGTCGTACCTTGACCCAGTCCTCCATGTCTCCATCGTCAATGACCTCCAGGATCTCCTGCTCCTCGATGGTTAGCTCGTCTGGCTGAGATGCCTGTWAACAATAAACAAAACTCAAGTTTGTTTGTGAGCATAAAGACAATTAAAGCTCAGCGGAGAAAAACTACATGTGTGTTCAGCTCTGGTTTCTGTGTGGCGACCTTGTAGGAGTAAAGCACTTTGCAGGTGAGCGGGTAGTTTTTCAAGGTGCTCGAGGGGCTGGAGCTGCTGTCGTCCAGCACCTCCCCGCTGTCCTCCATCTCCTCCTCATCCTCTCGCTCCAAATCTGCTGTTCCCTGAAACAAAAAAGGTTYTCACGCTGTCAGAACCGTCCAGATCTACCACACTGATACGAGGACCCGTTCTGTTTGAACACTTGAGTTCTTCAGAGTCTTACGGAGAGCGAAGGATCGTGGGTATTCAGGTTGTTCCAGCGCTCGTTCTCCAGCTCCTCCATCACCTGGTTCATCGCGCTCTTCAGCCATGTTTCCACAGCAACTCCCGCCTGCCTCAGCTGGTCCAGACGGGCCTCGGCTTTCACTTTCACCGTCTGTGATAGAAAATAAATAAAGTAACTTCTTTACTGGAAAACACAGACAAGTTTATTCACACAAACTCACAAGCAAACATTTACTGGATCAGAAGGCAAGTAAAATTTAAGACTTTTTAAGACCTAATTAATGCCACTTGAAATTAAATTTAAGACCAATTTCACAATAAACACAAATGGAAAAAACCCAGTTTAGCAAGAATTTTAGCCAAATATTTATTTTAAACAAAACAAGCTGTAAGAGGCATTCGGTCAACTATATTAAAAAATAAACGTTACCAATTATTGTAATAATTGAGACAAATTAGTCATCTTACGTACGAAGTGTTAACATTTTTAAGACCTGTAAAAGATTGATTTAAGACATTTTAAGACTAATTAAGGCCTTATATTTGGATTGATGAATTCAAGGCCTTTTAAGACTTTTTAAGGATCCGCAGGAACCCTGTAGATAATATTTACAGATAAAAAAAAAAAGAGGTTCTATTTGTTTGTGATGACATCAGTTTCATCTTTTGCCTGAAGGGAAAAAGTTCTCCTCAGACAGCACGTTAGCTTCAGAGGCAACGTTTCATCCTTCTGACCAGCAGGTGGCGAACTGAAGCCACTTCAACCGTAGGTGGGTTTCACGTTACTTCACCTCGGCCCGCCGAAGGCTCCGTCTCGCCACCTCCATCTTGGTCTCGAGGTCGCTGCTGTTCTGCTCCAACGCCTCCTGACTCCCGTACTCCTCCAAGGCCTGAAATCAAAAACACAAACAAACACTTACAGAATGTAAACAAAGACACACAGAGTGGACTGAAACTGTCCAAAAAACAAGTCAACATCTGAAGACAGGTTCCCTGGAAACAGATTATTTTCTGTTTTACTGGAAACATTAACCTTGACTTCTTTATGGAAGCATTGTTTCCTGCATCACAGTTAATCTTTATCAAGCACTGCGGTGGTGTTTTATCATCACAGATGGAAATTATGATTAACAGATTATAACCTTATATATAATCTGACAACTTCCAAATGACTCATGACATCAGGGTTACTTCTTTTTAAAAACGTACACAGTGCTATTTTACAAGCTGCAAATGTAAAACAGTTTTAGACCAAGTCTAAAAACAAACATTTAAACAAAGTTTCATCACGAGAAGGCAGAATTATTATTWTTTTATTTGTTTTTTACCTTTTGTGTGTGGATGATGCTCTTATACTCTCGGGCCACACGGCTCGCCCACTTCCTCGCCTCCTTGTCCAAGTTGTGCTCTTCTGCTGTCCCACTTTCCCTCTGCAGCTGCATCACCTGCAACAAAGACAAAAAGCAACGAAAGGTGTGTCAACGTGCTGAACCGAGGGAAGCACTGGGTGTAAGGAGTTCGTGTGCAGGGAAAGAGAGAAATCTGACAGCTCTTCAAAGACTTTAACCTCTYAAGCCCCAAGGGGTTTTCTTAAAGTTTTTGCTCAAAATACCATGCCAAAATGTAACTGAGTGTATCTCAGCATTTATAAACTCTACTTTAATAATGTTGGTATCAAAAATAAAGCTAACACCTGGGAGATTTTATCAGAAGTGTAAATATTAAAACAGCTGCTGTGGTTTTAGAGATATTGGGGATGGAACTTTTTTTTTCACTCTTATCTGAATATTTTTTTCATTAGACAGTATATAACCCATTTAAAATCATAATGAATCAGGCTAAAAACTCTTGGAAACCATAAATCCACTTGTGGACATTACTTGTGCAAAGATTCATGCTGCTGAAATTAACTAGAGGAAAGTTACAGAGGTTTTAGTAAAGAAATAATTTGGTGTTTTGTCATTCTGCACAGGACAGACCATGATGGTACCATTAATAAATGTTAAGAAAACTGAAGTTTTTACATCTAAAAGTTATTTATTTTTTCTTACCTGCCTGAAAAGACTTGTTATTGAATGTTTGTTCTTTTTAAAAWTTATTCAAACTTTATTTGTCACCATATATATTATATAAAATAATGAGAAATTATATTTGACTTCAGTTGGATCATATTCACTGAAAATCAAGTGAAAAAAACTTTCAACCCACTTTAGAACATATTTAGGTATCTACTTTGACTTGCTTTAAAAATAATGTCAAAAACTTTTCCTTTACAGATTTGCTTGAATGTATTTACAGATTTGCAATGATGACATTTTGTACAGTTTGTTTACTTTCTGATTCAACTACTTGTCATTTGAATTGTTCAGTGAATGTAAAAATAGTTTTCATGACCTTTTAGTCAAGTTTCTTAGGTTTCTTTCAATACCGAACATGTCCAGGTTCACTGAAGTTAGAAGTGAAAAGAAATATGAAACAGAAAAAAACTGTTTTGGCTCAAAAGGTTAATCAATTTTCTGTTCGTTACAAAGTTAAACCTGATAAAATAAAGTTTTAATCCACAAGAGGGCGCTGCTGCAAACTTCTTAAAATTTGTTACGAAGTTCAACCTGAAGCTGACTGTGYGGAAAACAAAGCGAGTTAAAGCAGAAAATTACAAATATATGTGTTAACTTTTAATATTAAAAAATGAGTCAGCATATTTAGGATTTTAAGCTGCAACAGAAGTTTAATAAATTTAGTCCTAAATTAGTTTAACTAGCTTCCACGTGACCTCAGAGTTGTGTCTTTGAGGCCGTGGGGGTGGAGGGCCGGAGTGGCTGAGGTCAGCGCCCTCCAGGTGAAGTCCACTCACAAAGCTTCCTTTTCACAGACGGCCCGGCCTGCCTCCCAGTCCAGCTTCACTCCGGACCGGATCCCTCMGTCTGGTGCGAGCGGCGTGTCAGAGGGGAGGGAGGCTCTCAGCCGCTCGTGTTTTCTTTAGGAACAGGCTGCAGCTTGTTTGACTTCCAATCAAAACAACGCCGGCGTTTGCAGTTTGAACAAATTGTCCAGTGTTGTCCGGCGGGGCAGAGGGGAGGAGGACCGGACCCTGAAGCATTGGATCCGCCTTCTGGACCATTTATAAATCAACGTTTGAACAGCAGGTTCGTCTCAGAGGCTGATCGTAAAATGTTTCTGGACTGAATTTAGAACCTGTTTGCTTAAAAAACTAACCCAATAATAACCTAGACAGAGAAAAATAATTAAAATAGATTCTAGACCACACTTAAATTTAAAACCAGGAAGTCAACTATTTTTTTCTTCAGTAGAGTTCTGTGTTTAAAGTCTGTACCAAGTAAGAAAAACAAAACTTCTAAGTATTTATAAAATTTGTCAAGACTTAAAACTATTATTAAAGGAATAACATACAGTGTAAGATGCTACCAAAAAAATGTTAGCTTTACTAACCACTAATTCACTAAACAAGAATCTTTAGCTCCGCAAACATTTAGCAACTAAAGTTTACAAAGTTTGTGGAAGCTAACGCTAACAGCTAAGACGACTGTCACTCAAACCTGTTCTCAGTTTTCTATTGGCTTAATCTGACGGTGGGTGGGATCATTTGTGGCAAATCGGAAAAATATAGCTGTTTAACTTGTGATACTTCGAATTGAACCCTTTCAGAATAAAAGCATTTGTTAGTTTTTATTTTCATAAATACCATTTGAAGTTATTTAGACAAAAAATACTTTATCATATTTTATATGTAGTCAGTTTTTGCATTCATCATTTAAATATGGTTAAAAGTTATTTTATTTCTTTTTGACACTCGGGTTGAAGTTTAGCTGCTAAAGATGCTACCTGCTAACACACGGTGTTGGATACGTCCAGTGCTGCTTGTAAGAGGGAACAGCCTTTAGTTAATTTGGGATGAATGCGTGACACTTGCAAATTTTTTAGCAGACTTAAAGATCTTGGAACCTAATTCAGTGGAAGCTAATCGGTCCACTAACGGTTTCCGATGTTATCCAAAAAGCTAATCCGCTAATGAAAAGCTAGTTCCGCTATTAGCAAGTTAGCAGATTTGTGTCAACTCCTGCAGCTCAGTAACATTTAAACTGAGGTTTTCTTTTCTACTGCCGGATGAAACAGGTGAAATAACACCTGCTTACTTTGTAATACCTGTGATTATTGTGCAGGGGACAAACGTAAATAAAGATTTAAAGGTTTAATTGATGATTATGCTGTAATGTTCCATGCTTTACAAAAACAGCCAGGCTTGTTCTGCAGGTCTTTTGTTTTTGAGATTTATTCAACTAATTCATAATTAAACTTTCATGGTGACCTGAACATGATTGTAGAGGAAATATAAAATGATTTTTCTGTGGAACAGCAAAGTCGGACAGGATTCATCAGAAAGAGTTATCACTTCAACAACAGCTTGAACAAACATCTGTCTGTGGTCTGATTGTTTTTCATCTAACGGCTTCCAGCTGCTGAATCTACAAACATCTGTTTACAAAAAGGAATTCAAACACAATTTTTCTTTTTTTTATGTCTGTTTAACATCTGTAACACAGGACCAGTTTCACTCCTGTTGTCTGTTTGGAGCCAGAAAATTAGAGTGTTATCGTTGAAAGCACTTATTATAAACAGTCGCGTAGTTACAGTGTAATTACATTATTTGTCATTTTGAAGAACTTTTCTTTACCGTTTAAATCGCTCAACGGCTCAGTTCTATCTGAATTTCATGATTTTATTATGTTTTAATACATTTCTTATTATGGTGGCACATCGACTGAACTGTTGGAGTTTGAACAAGCAACAGCAGCTGTCCTCAGTGAAAAAACTACCCAGTGTTTATATCGAAAAAATAWTAAACATCACTCAGATTTTACCGTTTCATAATTACAATTATTAACTTCACCACTTGTGTTTGAAAAAAAAGAAAACAAATATTTTTCATTTCTGAATATTTTCAGCTGCTCCTAATCATTCGTCTTTGAACACAACACAGCATTGACTTTTAGTATCAAGTTTTAAAAGTCAAATGAAATGCAACATGACCATCGAAACTGCATTCACTTTGAAAAACATTGAATATGTACAGTATCTGATTTAGTATCATGTTTGAAAAATGATATGAACATAGCCTGAAACAATAATTCAGTTTCTCTCTAAAATTATGCTTACTTAAAAAAAAAAAAAAAAAAAAAACAGACCTTATTCCAAAGGGGAATACTATATAAAGTGCAGTTTTACTGATTAAAAAAATTAAATAAAAATCTGATTACATAAAATAAATATGCTGTTGAGAATGATCAGATCAGCTCAAGCAGCTTTAGCATCAAATAGTTTTAATCTGAATCGATGACTAACAGTCAGGAACAATGAAAGTTGAGCGTTTTACCGTATCTGAGTCGACAGGATGGTACAGGAAACCTGACGGCTGCTGAAACATGAGGTTCTTCTGCACAAACGTCTGCTGGTGAAACTCCTGGAGGACCTGCAGGTGGATTTAAAATGAAAATAGCTAGTTTGCACAAAAATTTAACCTCATTCAACAACTTCAGATACACTTTAAACTAAACTTTTATTAGATGACGCAGAAGATTTATGAAGCTTACATTTTATCAAATTATGTTTCACGAAATTATTTTGTCACAAGAAGCACATGGTGAAACAGGAGCTACACTCACTGCTTCCCTTTCTAAACATTAGTTCATGTTCTGACTGGAGCAGAAACAAAAAGTCTCTTTGAGTCCAGAAAAGGAAGATGAGCTACTGAATGAACCCTGAGAGGCAGAGGCCAACATGAAACACGTAACTGAGCAGCTCTGAGTAACACAAACCGTTCAATTAATTAATAAATTAAAGAAGATGAGAGAACAACACACAAACTTAGAGTAACTTTGCTTTCTGGAAATAATTTAAGAGTATATTTTTGCACAAATAATAATCCTCTGCAGCTTTAATATGGATAAAAAATAAACCAAACTAAAATTTAAATATAGTAAATTATTCATCTAATGTCTAATTTAACCAGAAACATTCAATAAAAACTGAATTTACATTACCAACACTGTTATAAGGTTSTAGTTACAGTATAGTTGTTTAAACAACCTGATGGTGGAGCAGAAGGACTCAGTCCTGGTCTTTGGACTCACCCCGTTGGAGCAGCTCAGGATCTGGTTGAAGGTGTTGTGGGCGGCCTGTTGCGTCTCCAGCTCGGTCTGACAAAGTGAAACCAGGTAATCTTTGACCTGCTCGTGGATTCTGCCGTCTAAGGTCTGGAGACGTGAGAGGAAATTTTGTTTTTAACAACACAGAACAGGATTAGCCCCGCCCCCTCTGGACTCGTGTCCTCACCTTGATGCAGTCCACCAGGTCTGTGGTGTAGTACCGCTGCAGGTGAGCGTTAGYAGCTGCCAGGGTCAGAAGGTAGTCGTTCCTGGCGTGGGTTGCTTTGGAGTTGCACTCGCTCCTCTTGGCTTTCAGCTGGAATTAAACAGTTAAACTCAGTTTGATGACTAAACGCTGCAAAAGTACATATCAGGTATTTTAATAATACCTTTAACGTGGCTCTGTGGAGACTTGACCTCGACTGGAAGAGACTTAGTTTTGACCTGAAAAATAAAACACACTGAGTATACTATATTATAAACAGAAAAACTACTTTTAAAACTGAACTTTTTTGAGCCACTATTTTAGTTTATTCATTTCATTTAAAACAAACAAAATACATAAAAAAGAAGGAAAAAGTAATAATGATAATAAAATGAAATAAAATAAAATGAAAGGTAGCAGAAGAAGAAAATATCTTATAATATTTGCCCCCATTTTCAAAAATAATATTAAATTCAACAATAATAATCAAATAATGGTTTAAATCAGTATATTGTCAATAAATCTTCAATTAACAAAATAAGACTCCTTTTTCGAGCAACAATTCACATTAATAATAACTTTTGTGCAATGTTAATTATAGTTTTAAACAACTACCTGAAAATTAAGTTTTTTAGTTTATAATTATGAACATTATCAACAAAAATGGTTTTAACAATCGTTTCAGTTTTGCTTCAAACATCAGGACTGAAAACAAAGATGTCCACAAACAACGGTCCCATTTAAATAAAGGAAATATTGTTCCATTCTTGTGCTTTAAGCTGGTGAATCACTGACAAATAAGTCAAGTGGAAATAAACTTTTACACAACTTTACTCTTTGGACAAAGTTAACTAAAGTTAGCAGGCTTCAGTCATTAAAGGGTGAAATAATTCATGGTTACAGTTATTTGTTTGGAAATGGTCTAAACCTTTATGTTTTTGCTCTGTTAATAAACATGTTTATTGGATTAGAAGAATCAGGCTGATAGTTTCCTTCTTAATTTATATGAAAACAGTAAAAAATACTCATTTGTTTTGATTTATTATGTCCTTATACATGATGCTGTATCAGGACAGCACATGTGTCATATTAATTATGAACCTTACTGACAGAAAGAGGATTATCACTTGTTGTTTTTCCATCTTATTCGTCAAAATAAAAGGAATATAAAGAGCTGAGGCTCAGATTTTACCCACGATTCCCTGCTGGGTAAAGTCTGCATCAGCCTTCAGGGCTGTTTGGCACAGAACTCTGTAACATGTCCCGACCCGAGTCACCGTCAAACATGTTTGAGTTTCCCCGAGTCCAAACTGGACGTAATCTGGTCATGTGAACTGATCGCTGACTCGACTGCAGACGTGGATAAAAAAAAGCGAGGGAGGAATACAGGAAACGGCGTCAGAAGAGCAAACAGCTGCCCAGATAACAGCAGCGGCGTCCATGTTTGTTTAACCTTCAAACTGTCACCTTCGTGGGAGTTTACCTCATCTGAAAAACATCTGAAACCAGTCTGTTGGTGTTTACTCCACATACTGCAGTGTGTCACTGCCTAATGAAATACTGCTTGTGAAACTCCAAAWATAACATGTTTTTATGTTAAAGTTAGTGCAGCTTTTAATCCTTTCTGAAAGCAGCTCTTCAAAAGCTCTGCCCCTGCTCTGTACAAACTTTCCTGATGGGCAGAAAAATGTCTGAAATGTGGCGAGACGAGGTGCCAGCTGTTAACGCTGTGCCAGGACAAAGAGTGGAGGGGCGGCTGGTTCCAGCGAGCCAGAAAGTCTGAGTGAACGTTCTCATGAAGCGTCGCTTTCTCCCTCTTCTTTTTAAAAAAAAAACAGTAAAGCTCATTATTATCTGTCCTTACATAAAGCTAAATTTATTTATGCAACTCTGATGAAGATGAAAGCTAAATTATTTATTTGTTGAACACAAGAGAGCCACGCTGGAGCCCAATATTTAAATAAAAAATAATCATCCCTACATCTCTAAAAATGGTGACTAATAACAAATAAAATAAAAGTGAAATTCTAATTTTGACTTTTTCGCCCTCCTTCAGGATGGCAGCTTCATCTCTTAAGACACTACGACATTTTAGACAAATTATGAAATGTTTTTTTTTCCCACTAAACTAATAAAAGTTAGATATTTGATCAATTTGTTTGCATTACAGATTGTAGCTTCCAGCTAATTTGACAGAGAGTCAAAGCATTTGTCTTAAATTATTCAGTTTATTGACACTAAATGTAAATTTATTCAACATTTTATGAATTTAAATCAGATGTCCATCCTTGTTTTAATATTTCATCTCGAAACTTTACTGGGAACTTACATTTAAAGGTGCTTTTTATGCACAACTGATTCTGATAAAACCAAAACAAAGAACAACGTCCCCTCCCGCCTCTGGCTGCAGACATTCAGACAGCCTGATCTGAATCCCTCAGAGGTAGTGGAGTTGTTTGGGTCGTACTTGGTTTCGAGGTCGGTCTTCTCTCGGACAGCCTGGGCCATGGTCTCGGCCTCCTGGTATTTCTTCCTGCTCTTGGTCAGCTCCTTCACCGAGTCCTGCAGCTCAGCCTGGATGGCCGTCAGCTGCTCGATGCACTGGAGGCGAACACAGAAATTCATGCAAATTAACATTCAAATGTCTTTAAACCGCGTCGATGTGAGATATGATGACGTTCGGGAAATAAAACAGAACCGTTTGAAGGTGGAGGAGCAAACAAGAGCTGCTCTGTAGGGTGAGAGCTGACGAGCAGCTCTAATGTTTCTGACTGAACCATCAGGACACAAGCTGAATTATAACCACTGACCTCATAGCTCCTAATGACATGAAGGACTTCACAAACATTATGTAAAGTCTTTATAAAATAATGCTATAGTATAAACCTCCCCTGGTTCATGAGGAAATGTTGATTCTTAAACTTTACATGAAGTAAAGCTTCACTTTACTCTGAATTCTAATTAAACTGCATTTTGGTTCTGACTTTAACCATAATTAACACCTCATTAACCCTCTCTTCCACTTTTTTTACTATCTGTGGTTCTTTTCAATTCGCTGCAGCACATCATAAACAACATATAAAATAAATCAAGGCTACATCAAGACAAAGACTTGTCTGTCTGACAACAGATCATCAGGAGAATAAAAGACTACGTGAGGATTCTGTGGGTGTGTTCGCTGTGACCTGTTGTGGTAAAGCTATAAAAACCACTTTGTTCCTGCTGGGTGGATGAAAAAAAGGAAACAGCCGGCCGCRGCGTGATCATTGTCTCTCTTCTTTCATTACCAAAGATGACACAAAGTGAAATCACAAACGTGAGGGAGAGGCTGGTGTGTGAAAAGGTTTGGAAGTCTGGGTTTTATGGGATGCTTCTGCACCAGACGTGTTCAGTCTACAATAAACTAAAACAATCAGCTGAAGAGTGTGATTCTGTTCTAACCTTCTGTCTACAGGTCTAAAATATTCAGACTAACTTCTGTAAAGGATGAAGACGCAAACCTCAGATTGCAACAGGAGCGATGTGAACACAGTTTAAAGAACAGAAGTGACAGAATTTAAAGGGGAAGGAAGCAGAAGTACCTTCCTGAGTTGCTGCTCCTTCTGCAATCGGGCTGTCTTTGCCGGGTCTGCCACCTGGACTTTATAGTTCTCACAGGCACCGACTCTGAACTGGGTGGCCTGGACTGTACCCTCCAAATACGCCCTCCACACACAGAACATGTTTCTGAAAAAGACACACACGTCTTTGAAGAGGACTTTTATACTCATTATTATGATCAAATGATCAGTCTTTAAACTATGAAACCATAAAACATTTGGACAAAAAACAGAAAAACAACTTTTTAATCATTTTTTTTTCTCAATGACTCATCTCAAGCACACAATCAGCTTGCTGCAACAAAACATGCAGAAAATCTTAAAGCCAACGAGATAAAGAAAATATTGAAAAAGCGTGACGTTTGTTATTTTCAGTAATGACCTCATTTCTAAAGAAAGAAAAGGAATGATGGTCAGATAATGTTGGAAAACCCCTCGTCTACAAACCTTGAGTCAGAAAATGACATTTTATTAATTTATTTTCCTTATCTGAAGAAACATTTGGATCCGTCAGCAAAAGCTGCCCTAAAACATACCAAACAATCCAAACATTTCTTCTGTGTCTCTTCCTGTTGGTTTAAAGTTCCTGAATCAAAAATCCTCAACAAAGCAGCTCTTCTTCAGTCAAAATCATATTTCTTAAACCGCCTGAGTCTGGATGAGGAAAGACCCAACGGGTGCCGTGGATTTCCCCTGGTTCAAATGAAGAACAGCACGACTCTAATGTTCACAGACAGAAAAAACTTGATTTAAATTTTAAATTCAGAGCTCAGCCATGTGTGGACTCATTTAACAAAATATTTATAAAACACAATGAGTTTTAAATTAACCTGCCGCGTCTTGGAGCAGCTGTTATTAAAGACTGAACGAACAGCAATAAAAACGTTTAGTACAAAGTGTATTAAACTTAGAGAAGTAAAAACAGACGARTAAACAAGAAAAAAAATATTATAGTTACAAAACAGTCCAAACAAGTTTTCTTACCTGTGATCTGCTGGTTTCTCTGCCACACTTTCTGGCCAATCCCTCTTCAGATACTGATTTGCCAACTTCTGTAGTGCCTGAGAGAAAGTAGGAGGGAGAAAAATGTGGGAATAAGCTTCTATTTTTGACACAGGATACTTTTAATGTCTCAGCTTCAAAAACAAAATGACTGTGGTCTTCTGGAACCTTATGAGACAAAAAACTCAAACCAAGACAAGGAGAACAACAAAAACTAGAGCATTAAATGAAATAAAAATGAGTTTAGTCGGGTTATGGTCTAAAACTTTTGTCTGACTATTTTTAGAGGAAAAATTAACATGATCTGCAGCGTTTGAAACCCAAACAGAACAGACAGCAGCAGAAAACTGTTTGTCGAGGTATGTGAGAGATTTAATGACGACGGAGAGAAAGTGTGAAACTATCTCTGAACGCAGCAAAGAAAATCCCTTTGTACCACAATAAATCAAACAATAACACGTCAGAGAAATGTTCTTATTGGAGAGAATGCAGTTCGAGGAATGACTTGTACTTTGGTTTATAAACTTATGACGTCTCTGCCTCTGATGTTTACTTTGACCTTTTGATGCTTTTTGCAGATTGGGCTAAAAAAGAGTTAACAAAGAGTTCAAGTCTTTTCACATCAGTGAAGTTAGACTAATTCTACAAAAATCAAATCATATGTTCTTCTTATTAACTTAATTTGTTTTATTTTTGTTAAAACTGAGTATTGAAGTTTGGGTGAAAGCATGTAAAACCATCACATCCTATTTTTATTATACAAAAAGAGCTGTAAGAATTATCCCTAGAAAACATTACAGTCACCCAACAAATACATTATTTCATTTGTAATTATTGAAAATATTGAAATTTTATATTGTGGTTGGTTATAATTTCTTACAGTTCACGTATAAGGCTTGCAAAAATATATAATCTTTAATCGTTCAATCAAAATTTGATAAAAGAAAAAGTTATAATCTTAAGGGAATGGAGATTTTTGTAAAAGAGTACATCAATTCAAAGTGTGGAATAATCTTAAAACTGTCAAAACAACAAGTGTTTGAGAAAATGATAAAGGTGAGTTTGTGGAAGATAGGATTCTGGGTTGATTTGACTTGTTTAAGAAAGATTTCATTTTGTTTTGTATATTATTGTTGTTTGACTTTAATTTTGTGGAAAGGGGACAAAAATAAGATATTTTCTTCTTTCATTTATAACTGCTTGTTTTGTTTTTATTGTATTCCTTTTTTAAATGAATAAATAATGTGTATTAATGTGTAAATAACCACTTTAAAGGGATCCATGATTAGTTACATTAAACTTTATTTGATAAACATATATTTTAACAGTAAAATAAAGACTAAAAATACTGTAGGCTGTTCATTTTGTAAATATTTAAAATACTGTATGTTTTAACACGTACTGAGCCATTTTATTTATTTATTTTAAAGCATTCTGGGTAAATGATGATGTTGATAGGTCATCGGTGCGAGGATGTGAGCGAGCTAAATCCACCCTGAAGGTTAATCTTGGAAGAAGAACTGCACCATCCATATTTTCAGTTGCAGGCTGAGTTATTTTTGTGTTCTCCTCTCTGTCATGTGGATGGAGGACCTCAGTGACGAGAGAATGTGTAGCGCTGAGCTAATACATATGTGTGATGATAGCGTCGGGGCTAAAGCTAACAGGCTAAGCTGAGGTTCTTCTTCCATGAAGCAGCTCTGTTGTCCTCCATCCATATTTTCAGTTCCAGGCTGAGTCA